TTCCCTCTGACTGGATCTGTACCCTCCAGAAGCGATTGTTTGTAAGACCGTGGGATCTTTCTCCCACAGTTCTTCCGCGCCAGTGAATGCACAAAAGAAGGGGAGACTTTTCTCATAGCCTGGAATGTTACACCAAGTTTCTTTTATTATTTTTTATCTATTCTTCTTTATATAAAAGGTTGCTTAGTTCTTGAAAGCAAAAGTGTCAATTTTTAACGACGTTTTTCATGTCATAAGCTAAAGAAGTTAAACTTAAGTATGAAGAAAAGAGTAAATAATGTAACAAACCTAGCATTTTCTGTGTCTGTCTAGAAGCCTAGAAATTAAAATAAACAAAACTATAGTTTTAACTGCTGTTCTATACAGGCGTAAAATTTGATCCCTGAATCTCAAGGAAATGATTTTAAAATGCAGCTACAATTTTTAGGCCAGAGTTAGCATTACACGAAACCATGAACAATGTCGCTAGGACTCGATTAAGGTTTATTCTGATGCGAATCACGCTTATTAAAGAGGTTTCGATAACATTCGATGTTTTGATAGCTACGCCTGTCCGTTCACAATTAACTTACGAGAACAAAAGAAAGCAATGTAGCGTCACACTCATAATGAGACAACAGTTACGGTTGAACAATTTCCATTTAGCGTAACATAAGTAATCATCACTGTTTTTCTTTACATTCATCAAGTTTCTGAAAACTGTTATCCCGTATTTACATTTCAGAAGGTACTGAAACTATAAACAGGGTACTAATGGCCGAAATATTTTCCTTGGGATCGAGTCTTGCCTCAAGACTCCTCGACTTGATCCCCTCCGCTGGAGGGGATTGAACAAAAACTGGTTGTTACCTGCCAGCAGCCATGCTGCTAGACTTAAATGTGGTTATTTTTATGCATCTCAGTGGCGGGTACCAAAACCTCACACGGAGATTATTCTTAAAGTTTTTCAGCCTTCCCAAGATAGGCCTATATCACATCCTCGTGTACCTGGGCCAATGCTTCCGATCCTGAGATCACCAAATATAATTTAAATAGGCCTGATTGAAAGAAAACTGCTCATTTAAGGCGAGAGGTAAAGCAAGGATCTGAGGTTCTTACAACGGCAAGAATGAAGCTGGCTGTTTTCTGGGTTGTAGCGCCGTATAATCTGGTAGATTTTTTCAGAGTCTACGTTTGAAGGGAGTCTGGAGTGAGACGAATCAGGTGTTGGTGCGTTTGGTAGGAATCCGGCTTCAGTCGCCGTGAAAGTGTGTGAAGAAATTGTATAAATATACTTTCAATGCGATTTGTTAAAGTGATGCTGCAGTGGATTACAAAACTGTTCAATACAAGAGAAGTTACTTCCCTTCTACTTTGATGGCTCATACGCTAATAATAATATTGAATGAACGAATATAGAAATGGATAAACCAAGATTAGAATAAAATCCGACGAACCGAAACTGTTACATCAAAATTTGAAAATGTTACAATCTTCTGTTCTTAAAGACAACTGAAATTTTACTGAATGCGGTTATCGCCTTCGGCTTTATTGTTTCGATGTCGTTTCTCTTCATGTCTAAGAAATCGTCAAATAAGTCGGCCTGGCAGGAAAAATCTTTTGGAAATAACCGTGTAGAATGGCATGGCTGAAGCGAAATGATTTCGTTACATCTTTCTTCGTCGAGTCCAATATAAAGCAAAAAAATGCTTGAGACATTTATAACGAGGCGTTCAAAAAGCGAGCTCTCCAGCGGCTTCTTTGTAGACTGCATTTGTTTTTTTGCACAGTATTCATCGTAAGGAAATTCGCAGACGACTGCGATCCCTACATAATTTGACTGTTGCCGTATTTTTATCTATACAAATATGCGAGAATTTTAATGTATATGCTATATTAAGTTTCATATATTCTCCTGGGATGGTTTCGTAATAAATTCGTAACATTCGCGTTGTCGCTGCTTTCACATTTTTCGTTCTGTACCTTAAAAATGTTCTATTACACTTTATAGAATTCTAACATTGAATCATGCAACTGTTGATCCCACTCAAGAGTTTTCACGACATCCATCGTTACAAGTACAGCTCTACGTTAAAGTAACATGGTGATCTACACTAACAGAATTTCATAAAAAATTAATAAAATTTTATTCACAAGCCATCTGTGAAGACAAACACATTCATACAGCAGGCAACGTCTTCTTCGGAAACCCTGTTGTAGCGGTAACACCCTCTGGTTGATATTGTGGTTTACCTCAGTACTTCCAACTAAATGCCGCGAAAATGCTTTAAAGTAGATAAAAATCGACATATTCCATATCCTTACCCACTCACCATTCATTATCATCCTTCTATCTCATTCTTCAGTCTCCAGTCTCCACAGCTGAAACAACGTCGTTAAATAACCTAAGAAACTACCATAGAAAATATGTCAGGTTTGCTAACGATATTCAAACCCGATACCACACGGTACAGTAAGAGACCTTTTCCTGTTACATATCAGATTTGCGGTCGAATCGGTTGAGAGTCCCTCACGTAATCTAATTCTGGTCAGGAAATGAGAGAATTCTAGTTGTATTTCTGCCAGAACAGCCTTATAGATTGGAGGAAACAGCTTATTTCCTCATGAATCGCATGTTCTATAACTATTTGAAACTGAGGCCACTTCTTATCAACATGAGAGGAAGCTAACCTCGTATCGATTTCCTTAGAAATACTACTGCAATGGACTTCCGTGTCAGATTGGATGCAGACTCAGGATTTGCGTGATAATTGCCTTGAATCTTACAGCCACGTTAAGGGACCGTAGAGGACCACGCCTACACACGGTATTTTACCCCATCGCAACAACGCAGCACAGCGCAGCGACGTTTTTGCAGATATTAAGATAATTTCTAACCTGATTTACCGGTTTCTTATATGTGTGACACAGGCTCGTGTTTGAATATTACACAAGCCACTTTTTCACTGTCTCGTCCTGACACTTGCTTCACAGGAGCGATGGGAAAATCATCCCTTAAAGCCTGTTTATTAGGGTCTGCAAGTTCAGGGACTCAACATGCGTCTCGTGTTTTCGAGGGGATCGCCCCGATGTGTGAGATCTAAGGTTCTGGCAGCGATGGATATAATGATCGTGTTCTTCTGGGTTGTGACGCAGTTGATCTTGTAGTTGATTGACAGTGTTTCGAAGGAACACCGCCTTCAACATCGGGGCCTTCAGTGTCCTTAAACACTTCACAACTACTTCCACATATTATTCCCCTGTATTAACATCTTACGTTACAGTGAACTTTAAAAACTGGGAATAAATCAAACTGACATTTAGGATATTGTATATAATTATTAACACTCATGCAAGCATCAATATCGACCGGTAGCTAATTATTCCGAGGGATTTAGTTGATTCCCTGACTATTTCCAGGTATATCAGGAAAATATATTTAGATAGACAACTATAATCTCCTTCCAAAACTTCCTTAAATGAATTTGATTATTTTAATAACTTACTTTGCAGTTAAAACTTCGTTCTTTGGATCTAAGAATCAATCGAGTATATTCTTATTATTTTTAAGTTTATTCGTGAATTTATCTATTTCTAATTGGGCTTATTTCAGCAAGAGTGTGAACAACATAGAGTTGATTGTTTTAATTGCAAGACTTAGGAGCTCTTGCGTCTGGCTTGCGAAACAGTCTGGCCTTCGACCGTGGCCTCGTCTCCGGTCAGCAGCGAGTGGACAGATGATGATGGTCCATGATGCAGCATCCCCCGCTTCAGTAGCGTTGCCATAGTAACAGAGACTTCAACATTCAGTGGCGTGCTACTACAGGTGTTGAGCCACTGAACCATGCAGTCATTTCGGAATATGTTTAGGCCCAGGGTTGCAAAAACTTGCTATAAATTTAGGAGCTGGCTCCAAAATGTAGGAGCAGGGCTATATATTGGGAAAGGAAATAATATTTTTGGCACGTTACTATGGAAACAATTTTTTTTGAGAAACTAAGTCATAAAATTCCTCGCCTTTTATGGAATATGAACGTACTGCGTAGGAGGAACTCAAAACCACTAATAACAAAACACGACTTGGACTCATTATTCGCCACTTCCATTCATCTACCATCCACACAACTTACTTAATATTATTACTGTCTCCATCTTGTTCTTCTAAGATACCGCTTTAGAATATTTTCCTTACGAACATCCTGGATGCGTTTCTTGCTTACCACATTCGCGCTGCATATTCTACACACAGTAGTTTCATAAATTTAAGTATTTTAAAAATGCTAGATGACGTAAAAATCGCGATTTTCCTTATGCAGAATCCAATATTCTAAATTTATTAGGTCAGATATTTACCTGATGTCTGAAAAAATGTATAAAAATTTATTATTTCTAAAATATGTTTGGGAAATAATGTTTAAATCTTGCGCAATCAAATTTGTATGTGAAATTCTATATGAATTTCTTAAACAACATCCCAGATGAGTACATTATTCGAAGACAAGTGATGTTAATATGAATATAGGAGTACTTGTAAGGCAGAAATTGACTATGTCAGAAAAGAATATATCATGTATTGACCTAATTACAGAGATAAATGAGATTTAAATGAATTGAAAAAGATGAAGAGACTTGGTGGAGTTGTAATGAATATATAACTTCTTAAATAGGTGTACTACCACAGTTTAAATTAAGGTTTTTAGATTACTTAAATATTTTATGGTTGATTAATCAGATACTCGAGGAATGGAAAATAACGTTACATTACATTATATTTCGGGCCGACTGATAATATTTTCAGTTTCAAGAACTGGTAGCCCTTCCGAATTTACAACTTGTTATGCAAGTCTACGTTCAGCTGTGCCCAGTATCGGAGATCTCATTTGAGTCTTGGGCGCCTGTCAACACATTTTAAAGCCAAGTCTTTAAAACGTCTACTCTATTTATCATAAAGCTACTTCTCTCTCTCTCGAGCACAAATTCGAGGCTTCCCATCTCTCTTAGAAGAAAGGTTTGACACTCACCACAACGTATATCTTTCCACTGTTGTCATCCACCCAGCTGATGATGATGTCAGCTCCGGTCATTCCACCACCCGGTGAGAACCCCACTCCCACATAGCCTTTAGTAGCTGCCTCCACCAGGAACTCGACGTAGTCTTCTCCAGCCATCGCCTTCCAACTCAAGGTCACCAAATCGTCCAGCTTCACGGAGTGTGTTACGGAGACTAAATTTCGCCCAGTTTCTTCTTCTGAGTTACCAATACTGTTCCCACCTTCAGTATTATGCCTCTGTCTAGAATCTGCCTCGGTAATTTCCTCCGCCCTGCTTGTACTGGTCTTTCCCAAACTTCTCTTCGCCCTGTGTCCTGGTTTCGATGCCCGTCCTATAACATCACCTCTGTTCTGTTTCCTGACTTCGTGTGGTCTGTTCGAATATGTCACCTCTTCTACATGACTGTCTGTCTTTCTTTGACTTCTCTTAGCTCGAATTTCATGTCTCGATCGCAGACGATTCTTTGGTTTTATCAATAGTTTATCACCCTTTTCTACTCCTCTAAGGTTCCTTCTCACACGGTCCATCGCTCGAAGGGTTTTTAATTTGTCAACTCTAACTTTTTCACGTTTCGATTTTAAATGTTGAGTGAGATTCTTTTTACTTTTCTGATCTGTCACGTCCTTAGAATTATGTATCACGATGTCACTTGGTCCACGAATTTGACCGCCTGGCTGATGATCTACGTCCAAGGTAGAACCTCTGCTTGCTTCCAGGTCCAGATCTGCCCCCCTGTCCACGTGCATCACATATTGATCCAGAAGATCTACAGTCTCCGTGTGATCGTCCGCCCTCCCTTTACCAACATGAATCACGTACTGATCAAGCAATTCCAAGACTCTCCCTTGTTGAACTTTATCACCATCTTGCATTAAATTGTGATTGTTAAGTTTTGATGAACCTTTTATTGTTGCTAATGGTACTGCTAGCAGAGCGAGCAAGACAATGAGTGGTGACCTCGATGACACGCTCATTTTTGGTGATATTGTTCGTGTGCGATTAAAACAGTCGTTAATTTAATAATCGTTGCTAAATCATTTGTCAATTTTATGCAATAAAATTGTGCATTCACTGAACAACTTTGCCTTCTTTCATTTCTCCGAAACACAGTTGAAGTATGTAACAATCAGTTGCCATAACAATTGATCACTTTTGGATGTTGATTATAGTAATTGTTATCAGTTTCTGTACCGATCTGTGTCTTGTCGAAATTACCTACAGTACAGTTGAAATGACTTTTCTACGGTTATCACAACAATCGATTCGTTGTCACATGTTAGCTGAAGTACAATTCGTATTTTTGTTATTACGTTACAGTCGCGATGGCTTGTCACTAATAAGTGCTATTTTTCTGACAACCGGCGTCACAAAATGATAATTATTGTTTTCATTACACAACACTTTGTTTTTGTGAAGTTAATAATTTGACACGCGGTACAACTGGCGACAAACTTAACGTAAATCACTGTCCTTGACACTTTGTTGCTTATGTGATTTTACTCGTAACTTTCAATTCCCGAAGCTGGTTTCGACGTAGTGCGCCTGTTAGTGGCAGCTTCAAGTTAGCGACTGGCGGGAAGGTTCTATGTGACTAACATGGTATACTGCAGCCTGTGGGGCAGCAATGCTACCGGCGATTGCAAAGAACACCTGGCAACATTGCTCCACAGGTAAAAAAGGGAAACAAGTAACCCCCTCCATACACCTTCCTGCTTCCACAATTCCCTTGTCAGTAAGAAAGAAACTTTTTATGAGACAAGGACGCCAAGATGGTCTAGTAACTTGTTGTTAGTAAAGGATAGAAATTACGTTACCAAAGGTTTAAAGCTTCAAACCAGGGGGAATTTTAAAAAGAAAAAGAGATGCCCGAAGAACACGTGAATTGTTGTGTGAGTGAGGTAGGACGATGATAATGGGGGAGGGAATAAAGAATTAAAAGGGTCTACATCTTCTTCTTTGAAGCAGTTGGTTGCATACAAAGGAGACGTAACTGGGAAATCGCTGTCTAGAAGTGGCATTTGAATAAACAGTGACTTTTTTTTTTTTACAGATTTAAGCGTGTTACAACAAAATTCAATTAAGTTAGACCGTCCTTCTAGGGCAATGATAAGATAATTGTTGGCTGTTCCATTATTGCTGAGTATTAACAGGATGTATTCTGAGAACTGCAATTAAATTGTGTGTTATGGTCGTCGGTGTTGTGACCTCGCGTATTTCGGAGAAACGTATCTCCATATTCAGGGTAGTAGCGAAGTCACTTTTACTCTGAAGGTGAAGGTGGCACGTTCCTACGTTACGTTAGTAAAATGTTACGGGATCACGCGGCGCTAGAACCGAGAAGACCAAAATCGACAGCTTGACCGTCGAGAGAACTTCGTATCACTTGTTATTAATGAAATTTATAAGACGATTAGTTTTTAAAATAAAGGCTGCTAAAGTGCTTTCTGTAGGCAGCCAAAAGAGAAAATAGTCGAATTCCAGTAAATAAAGTAACTTCCCAGGGTTCGATTCCTGGAATGGAAGCGTTTTACTCTTGATCACTGCATTCCGATCGCCTGTGGTCATCGACTTCCTGTGTACCCTTCACAAGTAGCACGCGAGGGTAACGGACTACAGTAAACCCTCGATTTAAAGGACTGGTAGGGGTGAAAGGATGTCCGGTAATGCGGATTGTTCGTTAAATTAAGCATTTGTTTTTACGATATCAGTAAAGCATTCTTATTAGACCACAATTTTCATTGGGAACACAATTAAACAGATTAGTAACACGAACTGAACACCAGAAATTACACGACGTCACCTCGAACATTTATCATTTAAAATTAAATTATTTGGTTATTCCGTCAAATCACAATGTATTTAAAATAAGATAATTAAAATAATTAAAATATCATTCTTTGTTCCATATCGAATAATCGATTTACAATTGGAACAGTTACAACATGTTTCGGTTTTATTAAACCATCATCAGGTGTAAAATTATATTAAATTTAAAACTCAATTACAATTTTTTACAATTCAGTAATAAACCTTGATCGGATACGGTAATACTTCTGGATCACCTCCAGACACAACTGTGTTGTCTACTATTTCATCTCTGACCGATGTAAACCTCAAAAGCATCACTTCAAAGAATAAAGTTGATCCATTATATGAAAATATCTGGACACGACCTCCAAAAAACTACACTACGAAAAATTGTGAATAATTGTAATTGAGTTTTAAATTTAATATAATTTTACACCTGATGATGGTTTAATAAAACCGAAACATGTTGTAACTGTTTCAATTGTAAATCGATTATTCGATATGGAACACAGAATGATATTTTAATTATTTTAATTATCTTATTTTAAATACATTGTGATTTGACGGAATAACCAAATAATTTAATTTTAATTTAATAAATCACAATATGACGCAACTACACTATCTTATAATACACTAGTGTAAAGAGATAATTACGCGCAAAAGATCCAACGGTTATTAGCGAACATTTTCAGTTTTTTAAAGTTTTTAAATAACATTTTATACTTGAGTTTGTTTTGGTAATACAGAAGACACAAGACATATTCTTTGTGCGTGAAGCATGTTATTTTATGGAAATATAGTAATCTTTTTTAAAGATATTCAATTTGAACTCTTGGCACTTAGAAAAAAAATGCAGGGGACTTTCAGATCTGCCAGACAGTATTGATGGCTGTCGTACTGACTTGAAGTCGCCTGGCGGTGTGATTTATGACTATACCGGGTCTATTATGAATGAACTCTCTCAGACGTTACGACAGGAAGCAATCGCCCTGTTGGACAGGCTTCAGGACGAAGATGCAGAACCCGTTGGAATCGCAATGCTGAGCTGAAAACACTGCGACCTCAGGTGTCTCGCTGACTGAACCTTAGTTTATTCCACGACTCTTTTTGAACTGCGTGGTTTATGACTGAGGAATGAAAGGACAATTACGAATGTCAGGGTGCCTACATCATAGCCAAAATTCGAACTCGGGGCCTCTAGAATACGAAGCAGGTGCGTAAGAACGCACTGCGACATGTTCCATTAAATTATTAATCACTTCAAGCACTGGAAGCCAATTTATAGGCGCAAAAATGCAGATTACACAGCCTGCGGACATACGTTTAAGACGATTCTCTTGTGGGATGTTCCAACGTGTCGTCTAGTAGAAATTTATCGATGTTTCAGAGACGTTTACTGCCTTCATAATCAGGGCGATGATGCAGACAGTAAGTACTCTCTGTGAAACAAATTGAGTTATATACTCTTAAAATAGGTGGTATGTGTAGTAAACACTGTGATTATTATGAACATATCGTTAACAAAATTAAAATTAATTATCTACTGCTCCTCATATTAATTTCATTTGACGGCAAATCGAGTTTTACGTTTTAGTAACTTATGTAGTGATATTTTACGGGCTGTGTTGCAAATTACATTGTAAGTACACCTGAATGAAGAAAATCGAAATGAATTAAGAATTAAAACGAAAGTTAAAATTTAATGAGGCACGGCAGTTATATGTGAAAATTAAATTTAGTTTAAGAATAATAATAATGCTAATACAACATTTGTAAGAAGTATAAAAAGTCGTGGCAGATTATACAACTTTACAGGGATACCGATGCATAGGGGGGCAGTTAGGAACGACGTACTGTGGAATCGGAGTATAATTCAGCCTAGATAATAAACATGAAAGTCTGAATGCAACAGAACTGGGAATGCAATCCCTGTTTTATGGTAGACGTTATTATTTCAACTTCTTGCGTGGAATGAAATCAGAACTTGACTTTAGGTTTGATATATGAAGACAACCAGAAGCTCTGACATGATACAATATTTTGCAATTTCTTCTGAAGACTTCCTACTACCATTGGCATTAATCATTGTTCCTTTGTATGGTATCCCAAGACGTGACGGGCATCTGCTTCCCATGACCTGTGTTTGTTGATTCAATTAAAGATGGCTGTCTTATGGTGTACTACGCCGTGCAGTCAGGTAGAAATTGCCTGACGTTTCAGAGGTGTTTGCTGCCTTTATCTCCAGGGCCATATCGTTTTCAGGTAGTGCGTCAGCTGCTGGATACGCATTGGCGTTGGTTGGTCTTGTCATTTTTGCGTGAAGGAGTTCGTGCGTAGTTGTTAGGATTTCGTTGTAAATGGAACACTGCGAGTTTAAATAGGCCATATCTTCCATCACCATCCACAGTCATCTGAGTTATTAGGATGCTTGGCGGTGTTGGTGACAGTAATTTGCTCAGATCAATGAAGTTAAACCTTTTATTCCATGAATATTATTTTCTGCAAATAAATATTTATGCAAGAGAGTCGTAAAAGGAAAAGAAAACAGACAAAAGTAATAGAAGGAAGAAACAGAAAGAAAGGTAGAAAATGAGAAATAAAGAAACAGAGACAATAAAAATGTTCGCAGTGTTTAATGAAGTTCAGTGCTTTGAAAACGTATGGGGGAGGATAGCTTTACCCCCCGGCCGTTTTATTCCTCAGGAAAGAACCCCGGTGCCTACTGGACTGGAGTCTGGGTGGGCCCAGCGTCGGTCTGGACGTTGTGGCTTATAGAATATTTCACACCGCCGGGATTCGAAGCCCGGCCTTCCAGCCTGCAGCCTGGTCACTGTGACAGGTTTTACGGGCTCTTACAGAAACAACGGAACAAAACGTAAAGGACTATTAAAATGTAATAACAAGAAATAAAGAAGAAGACATGGTAAAAAGCAAGGAGAGACAAATGAGATTAATGAAGACGTGAAGCCCGGTCTACACGTAACGTCTAGATGGTCAGGTAAAACTGACCAAAATCCCATGTCCACACTATTTACGTTTTAGCTACCGATTTATGCTCAGTTTCATAGATACCATGGATGAAGTAGCGATTATTTCATTGTGTCTCGTGAAATTGAAAAGAAAGGAAGTTGTTCGTCGCTCACGGTGGTCTAGACGATGGTTGCTAAAGAGAGGCAGATTCTCTCATGTAAATTTGATTCGGGAATTACGTCATGAACCTGAAGATTGGCGTAATTATTTACGAATGGATACGGACATTTATTTGAAATTACTATCGTTAGTAACTCCAGAAATACAAAAAAAAAAAAGGACACTACCATGAGAAGGGCTATCACACCCCATGAGAGACTGACTGCTACTTTAAGATTTCTAGCGACAGGTAGAAGCTACAAAGACTGACGTTTTACCGGAAAACAATGCTCTAACCGATCCGTTTTCTGAGAGACGTCCGTCTTCATTCAGTTCAGGCAAAACGTCCGTTTCTCTGTCCATACGTAACTTTTTGACTGATACGTCTTAACTGATCAAACAAAACGTACGATAAGACGTTACGTGTAGACCTGACTTAAAAGAAAGAAAATAAATAAAGTGAGCTTGGGTGTAAAAGAAAGAGACGAAAAACAAAAGAGAAGTATGGAAAGGGATTAGGAAAGGAACATGACAATAAAAATAAGAAAGAGGAGAAGAAGAGTTAAACATTCATAGCAACTGGCAAAGGAAGTTTCCTCCT